TTGCGCAACAAATATTTCGCAATTTTGCGCAGTTACTTCGCGCAATATTGTAGTATAAATCACGGACCCGATTGAATACTCGGCCCATTTGTCGATCTGAGATTCCGGCGAAATCTGAGATTAACAGAATAATTGTAGATCCGAGATTGTGGCAGTTTAATTGCGCAATTTTGGATCTGCAATATTTCGCGGAATTCTATCACGGAATATCGGATTATTTATTTCAGAACATTGAACACGCATCAAAATAAGATTTTTGTGATATGAAATCATATCCTTTTTTTAGATTACAATGTAAAACACATATTGAAGATTTTATAAAAATGTTCACTCAAATTTTGGCTATACCTAAAAAGATAATTTAATTCCTCTTCAAGTGTTCTAAGAGAGATTCTTTCATTAGAAAATCCTTCAGAAAGTGATCAGTTTAACCTGATTAAATTTCTTGTAATTCTTCATTTCATCTAGCTAATATATCATTAGTTTGAATATATCACTATTAAAGAGACCTGAACCTGTCTCATTCTATATCAAATGTGCCAAATTTACTTAATTGATTTAGATATCTAATCCAATGAGTAATTTGATCATTGATATTTCTTACTTGATCAGTTTCGTACATATGATCCTGTAATACTGAGGAAGATGATGCTGATGATGATGATGAGGATTATATCAGATTAAAATGCATTAAGCTCATAATTTTAGTCAAAATTTCTCAGATCCTGATTTTCCTAGAAATCCTCCCATATGTATTATTTTAGCGCTATATAAATATTAAATATTTTTTATAAATTTTAATTTTTTAATTTTTTTTTATTTTTTGATGATTTTTGTAAAGACATTGAAAGTACCATAAAATGGAATTATTTATTCTATTTAATCCACTTTAAGAAGTTATTACTGCATCTTAAATTTATCATATAAATAAATTATAATTTAAATTAATGTAACATGTAGATAATTTAAGATGCATTCATGATACCTTAATGATTAAAATACCATTAATATACTATTAAGGAATTATCACAGCATTTTTCCAGCACTTTAAAAATTTAGAGGTTTTAAGGTATTTTCAATCACCTCTCTAATGTAATTGGCTAGTAATTGAGATGATACTCAAGTTTTTCAATCAATTAAAATAAAAATGGAGATCAATGCTTAATAAATCTCTCTTAGTTTTTTTATCAATTTACTATGTCTCCAAAAAAACAAAATAGCAGTTCCCAGAACTTTACCAGTTCTTTTTTCAATTTAATGAGTAATTTATCATAGTAATAATAACAAAAATACTATATTGTACAATATTTTATAATACCTTTAAATAAAATAACTGACAATTACAAAGATTCATTAGTAAACAATTATTTTTATAATTATTGTATGAGAAATAGTAATTTAATATGAATTTTTTTAGATATTCTTCTCACAATCTCTTATAAAGATCAAAAAAATCAATTCCCTTTCAGTACTATGCCTGGTAAAACTAACATTACCCAAATTTTTACTATCACCTGTCTAACTTTTACTTTTGATAATTCTAATAATTAATCCTTCTTTAGCTCAATACTTATTAAACCAAGTTTTATTCAAATTTCTGCTCCAATTAAGATTCATATTATAGAAAGTAAAAGAATATATTTGAGCAAGCTCTTTTTATAAATTTTAACCAATTAGCATAGCTCTATAAAAAAATGGTATTTGTAGCTCCTAAATTGATTTAAATAATGACCATACTTTATTTTTTAATTTTTTAACTAAATAGAACATTTGATTAAATATTTTATAAATATAAAATTTAGTTAACTTTAAATTACAGTAAAAAGTATAATTAAATACTGATAATCACTTACTAACTAATTTATTATTAATTATTAAATATTTTTTAAATAAATAATTTAGTTGACTTTAAATTATAATAAAAAATATAATTATTCAATATATATTAAAGGTAAATGAAATCACATTTGAAAATAAAAATTAAATAATAAGAGAAAATTAAAGGAGAATTCTTAAATATTAATAATCAATAAAATTAACTTACAAACTATTGTATATTAATTATTAAATATTTTTATAAATAAAAATTTAATTTAAATCATAATAAAAAGTATAATTAAATATTAATAATCAATAAAAATTTACTCATAAACTATTGTATTATTAATTATTAAATATTTTTATAAATAAAAAATTTAGTTAATTTTAAATTTTAGTAAAGTATAATAAATACTAAAAATCAATAAAAATAACTTACAATTTAAATTTGAATCATTTTTTAAATAATTTAAATAAAAAGTTTAGTTAACTTTAAATTATGTAAAAGTATAATTAAATATTAATAATCAATAAAAATAACTTACCAACTATTGTATTATTAATTATTAAATATTTTATAAATATAAAATTTAGTTAACTTTAAATTATAGTAAAAAGTATAATTAAATACTAATAATCAATAAAAATTACTTACTTTCTATAATAATTTATTTTTTTAGTTACAGTAAAAAGTGTAATTAAATACTGATAATCAATAAAAAAATAACTTACTATTTAAAAATTAATATTTTTAAAAAAATATTTAGTTGAGTTTAAGAATTATAGTTATAATTGATTAAATAATATAATTTACTTCTTATTATTATGAGAATTAGTTGATTTTAATTATAGTAAAGTATATAGTTAATTTAATTATTAAATATGGTTTACATTCTATAATTTTTAAATAAATGTTTAATTTAGTTTAAATAATAGTAACTTATTGACTAAAGTTATAATCTTTTTTAAAAATAAATTAGTTAAGGATATTTTATAATATAAAGAATAAAATAACTTACTCTCTATATTATCATTGATTATTAGGTATTTTTAAATAAATAAAAAGCTTAGATATGAAATAATAACATAGCTTATATTCTTAGTATCACCCTCATTGAAATTTTAAAAAAAAATTAATTATTAATTATAATCTAACAGTAAATACAGTTACTAGCGAAAGTAATAGCACTACAAGTGCTGCTTGTTTTTTGAGTTGTAGCATGTTCATTTTTTACTCTAGAATTTTCCAGTATTTCTAGAATGTTCTTTATAAATAATATTTAATAAATAAACAAAAAAAAGTTGTAGAAAAAAATGAATTTCTTCATATTTTTCATTTAAAATAATATTAATCATTCTTAAAAGAAACTGAAATGCTGTTAACCTTCTTTAACAGCAAAAAATCCA